AAACTAACTCTCTCTCTCTCTCTCTCTCTCTCACACATACACACACACACACACACATACAAAACTGTTTTCAGTAGACTGGATCTCCTTCTCCCTCACTTTCATACTGGGGTTGATTTACGGTCCTCAGAAATACAAATGTGTTCAAAAATGTGATCTGATAGGCAGTTTTGGTGGCCAATACACCTGAGTTGCCAGAGTTTATTGGTAGGGACACTTCTGAGTAACAGCAGCTTTCTCTATTTTTCCAGTCAGTGTTTTAACAAAAATTGTTTCATTCCAAAATCTGGACCCAAAAATTAAGTTCAAAGGGGTGAGAGTCCAGATATGGTAAGAGAGTTGTTCCTTGAAAGGCTTTTCCGCCTGTAACTTTCTATACAGAGACACGATACGTTAATTATTTGGGGCACAGGTAGGAAATGACAGTCTGATGAGGGGCAGATCTTTAATTTGTGCACTTCAATGACTTCAAAGGAGCTACTTCAGTTTGCACCTGAAGCGGAGCTTGCCACCCGTTCTTATCTTTTGACTTAAATTCCTTTTTAGAGGATAGCCCAACAATTTCAAAATAGAAAGAGTTTTCTCTATGTTAAATGACGCTTACAAAAATAAAGGCACTCAGTAACTCCTAGGCATGTCGTCATTACACAGCACACACAGACATGATACACGCAGCACATGCAATCTTGCCCTATAGGCACTTTTGAAATTTCCACCCCCCTGTAAAAAGTTGTTTGGAGCTAGGACCCACAAAGGGGGGGAAAGGCAAGAGAGGAGGCTCCCAACTCCCACCGGAATTAGATAAGAGTGAGTTTCTAACTCCTTCAGGCTCTTGAAATGAACCATGTTGGTGAAAACTCCTACAACATGCAGTATAGCTATCCAATCAGCTTTGGTGGAGGAAAACAACAGATGTGAAGCCTGAAATGGAAAGAAGGGAACTGTTCTTTAAAGGGTCAATACATTATGTATGTAAGGGTGAAAATATTATGAGGAAAAGAAAAATACTGTACCTTGATTCCTACCTGGGTAAAGAAGGGTTCGTAGATTTCAACTCCTTTATCCGACCCTTGCAGTAATACCTCTTGGCCACGTCTCCAGCTGTACCGTACAGGTGGGTTGGAGTTAGCAACGCACCTGAGAAACACTGTTCTCTCATAGTAAAACTGTTCTTTTGCTTCCCCGATGCTCTGGTGAACTGTCACTATCGGGTCATCTAAATCTGGAAATGCATAAAAAAAACCACACAACTCAGATAAGAAAATTAGGGCTTACAGAGATCCTAAGGTGTCTCCTACACACAAGTAAGCAACCAAGACTGCATATCTTCTTGAAAAACAACAGGCAAGTATGAGAATGTTTGGGATCCATTCCAAGAACAGTTACTACCCCAAGTGTATACTCTTAGATTGTCAGTGTGTTTGTACACCGCCGGGCACAATGGGGTCCCTTCCCACCACTGGGGCTCCTAGCTGTTACCACAAGAGAAATGACTTCAAAACCATTCATGGTGTTAAGTGTGAATTAATGTTTCATTTAAACAATTTCATCTCTTTTTCTTTCTTAATCTCACTTAGATAAAACACTGTTGATCAAAGCCTGGAAATAATTAGTCAAGCTGTTTTCATTTGGATCGTAAGAGAAGTTTGATGTTATTTGGTGAGAATGTTTTATCTTTGCCTCTTATCAGATAATGTGAGTGTATCTGTGTTTCCTTAAAGTAATAAAATAGAACATTTTTAAGGCAGACGTCTCTTTAGCTAGTTAGATATGTATTAAGCTACAAACAAAAAGATCCATCCCAGGCTTTGGACACCCTTGACTCTCAATTGCCCTTGACTCTCCTGTTGCCTACTCTGTCCCCATATCTACTCTAGCGACATCATCATAGGACCCAACCACATCAGCCACACCATCATTGGGTTCATTCACCTGCACATCTACTAATGTGATATATGCCATCATGTGCCAGCAATGTCCCTCTGCCATGTACATTGGCCAAACTGGACAGTCTCCACGTAAAAGAATAAATGGACACAAATCAGACATCGGGAATGGTAACATACAAAAGCCAGTAGGAGAACACTTCAATCTCCCTGGACATTCTATAACAGATTTAAAAGTAGCCATTCTTCAACAAAAAAAACTTCAAAAACAGACTTCAAAGAGAAACTGCAGAGCTACAATTCATTTGCAAACTTAACACCATTAATGTGGGCTTGAATAGGGACTGGGAGTGGCTGGCTCACTACAAAAGCAATTTTCCCTCTCTCGGTATTGACACCTCCTCATTAATTGTTGGGAGTGGACCACATCCACCCTGACTGAATTAGCCCTGTCAACATTGGGTCTCCACTTGTAAAGTAACTCCCTTCTCTCCATGTGCCAGTATATTTATGCCTATATCTGTAATTTTCACTCCATGCATCTGAAGAAGTGGGTTTTTACCCACAAAAGCTTATGCCCAAATAAATCTGTTAGTCTTTAAGGTGCCACCGGACTCGTTGTTCTTTTTGTGGATACAGACTAACGTGGCTACCCCTCTGATAATTAAAATACAGACTTCCTACTCCTGCAGTATCAATTTAAGCATCCCTGGAGCCCACAACAGAGTTTCTTCCCATTCCAAGTCCACACTTTACAAATACCCCCCTGCCTCTAAATGTGAGAAAGGAAAGTTACCCCTTGGAGTATGACCTGTAAATGGACTAACTTGGCATAGTTGCATGTTGAATCAGCAAGACTCAAAACTGGCCAAAACCTGGTGTTAGCAAAGAAAGTGACAATCAATACGCCATCAATTGTTTGTTGCACTGTATACAAAAACCAGGGGTATTTCTCAGATCTTATCTGATCCTACTAGAGCAAACCAGGATGAAAGCGTTATCCCTGGGTTTGATTCTTTTGTGACTGTTCCGATCAAATGCTTATGAATGTGTGTTATGATATGGATGTAGGAATCACTTCTTATTTAGGCTTTTAGCGACATTTAGAACAATTGTACAAATACCATTTGGCCTTTAGATTTTAATAAAGAAATTTAGGGTTAAATTGTGTAGTGGGAAAGCCCTGCAGAAACAATGATACCGATAAGCTTCCGACATTTGGCTATCTCCTATCAAAGGGGGAGACAATTCCTTTGTATGCGGTGTTGTTTTACTATCATATTTTGGTAAGATGTCTAAAACATCATGGCTAAATTGAAGAAAAATAAAACAAATAACCTCCCTCCCAGCCACCTTTACTAATTTACGTTGCACAATTTTCCACCCGCAAATAACTCACCCTGCAATGCTCCACTCTCAATTAGTGGCAGATAGACATCTAGCTACTAAAACGTCTAACGACCCGTAGGAGGTTGCTTCTCCAAATTAGGCACTTAGGGTTCCAAAAGGCTAGGTGTAGACAGGTAAATCTAGGTGTGCTCCCAATCTGCATGTACATTCACTGTCGCTATGTACTCATATGGGGTGACTGCATACTCAACAGTGCCTGCTTCTCCACATAGACTTATAATCACTCCGTCTGCACGCACACAGTGATTGCTTGTGTTAATTCGGCACACATTGTATTGGTTAGAAAAATGTGTAGATGCCCATGAAAAACAAACACACACACTAAATTCTAGGATATGTAGGATTTCTTCAGTTAATTCTGATTTTACCCACTCATCCACAAATTACAACCCCAGTCCTGCAAAGATTTATGCACCTGAGTAACTTTGCAAATGTGAGAAATCCCTCTGAATCAGTTGGAACAACTCCAGGCCCTGATTCAGCATGGTGCTTAAACACACGTCTAACGGTCAGCATGATCCTTGTCCTACTGGAGTCAGTGGGAGTATGCTCACATGCCTGAAGTTAGGCATATACTCCAGTACGTTGCTGAATCGGGTCCAGGAGAACCCAGTTGCTCCATTGCATGTTTGCAGGATCGGGGCCAATCAGTGCTAAAAAATAGCTGCCTTAAATACATAAGCTGCTCGTTAAAGGTGTACCTCTTGATTTGAGTAGTAAGACCAGTGGCTGCATGCACATTGGAGAAAGCATCTCGATTAATACGAAACACATGTGCCATACATCTAGCCGAGTAACACGTACAATAATTCTTGGTAAGAGTGCATGGATTTTAAATAAATGCAACCTGAGTTCTACCCTGAAAAATATTGGAGGTACCGGTAGCATCACAGAAACAAATTATGAAACAGTGGTTTCAAATTAGGATGGCATTTTATAATGAGATTTTGTTTTTCTTTTAAAGGTTATTTTATAACAGAGTGCCATTTGCAAAGGAAGGAGAGTGCTGAAATGTTATGTCCTCCATTCATTCAATGGCAAATAAAATACGGAAAATAGTTTGCTTAAACTTCAAGGCCAAAACACCTGGTTGCCTATAGCCGCAGCGAAATGCAGAACGTATCACACAGTAGTGGCTCCCCAGAGTATTTGTTGATCGACAATACTATTAACACAATACATAGTAATGACAGAGTGGAAATTTGAAACGTGTCCTCTTACGGAACTTCGTCTCATTTACTCTTTTGAGGAAAGATGGCCCTGTGGTTAAGGTGCTGTGGATTCAATTCTGAGCTCTGCCACAGACTTCCATGAGCTTGGGCAAGTTACTTAACCTCAGTGTACCTCTGATATCTACCTGTAAAATGGCAGTGATGATAACACTTCCTTCATCTCTCGTCTAGTAGGATTGTCAAGTCTTTTGGG